TTGATTAGTGATGATATAAAAAATATTACTTAACAGAGCAACAATTAACAGTGAATGCCCCAAAATGTACATGTAAATTAGTTAGTGTAATTAGTATGAATTTATATTGAGCATACTCCAAAACCATACTACATACTAGTTCTGTACAGTAAATATTTAATAATACTCATCAAAGTATTCTTTAGCAATTACTCTGCAAAAGAAATCAGCATGCTTTATCATTTTATACTAGCTGGAAATTACATGTTACGTCAATGAAACCGTGACTCTGAAATATCACTGCCAATGAAACTTCACAAATACACAGCAAAATGTTTTCCCTGTGATTTATAACTTTCGGTGTTCAGCCTAAGAAGTCAAAACAATTACGTTGACATGTCAGCAGTGTGAAACTAGTGTCCGAGAGAGACGCAAAAATTGCCGTTTGCAGACACTGTTTTGCTGAATTGCCTCCTAGCATATCCGCTCCATCTGTGGCTGACTTCTTAAAAAGTCTGACCCGCTTTGAGTGTTTCTGTCACTCGTTTCTGAAACGGCACTCAAGCTAGCCACACCTAAATTTGGAGTGCACATGTATTCAAGCCTTTATAGTAATTAGGGTTGACCCCAAATAGTCGACGATTCGATGCTTCGATGGGCAGAACCTGATTCGACTGTCAATCTCACAGTCGAAGCTTCACAGTCAAACAAGGATCAGGCCATTTCGGTGATATGGGGGTGCTCAACCTCTGACTTTAAATAGAACTACCAGTTTTCTCCCAATAAGTTAATATAGATCCTATTACCATACATATTTCAATGTTTAATGTTGTAAATAACATTGTAAAAAGAATAAAACTTTCAATAAAGTGGGAAAATAAATCCAAAACTGTATCCCTAACACTGGATCGTCAGTGCGCATGTGTAAGCGTAGCGTGTGCCGGAAGAGAAACACTTGCTGAACAGATGGAGATGCTGGTGTTGTGCTGAGCTGTCAGCACCTTGCGGGACCTTCGGGTAATTTATCTCTTGTCCTCGGACCCACCCACCATAGTCTCTCAAAATCCTGTTGGAAACACTAAATAAAAGGCACATTTTGACTTTAATTTATGCAACGGTTAAAAAAAAAAAAAAGGCAAAATAAATAGAAAAATGTGAAAAACCTTGTTCGGCATTCGAAAAGTTTTTCATTATAATCCGCTTCGGCCAAGAAATTTCATTTCGGTGCATCCCTAGTTCCAAGATGCTGTTTCACCACCACAATTTGAATTTTTTCCAGCTGTGAGCACCTCTATTATTTCCTTTGTGCATTGCATTGTGGAAGAATAGTATCCATCGACAACACACTCAACACATGTGACGGAAATTCTTGTGAGCTTGTCAACTCTATTGACGAAGAAGGGCTCAGGAATCTCAGGATGTCTTACGCAGTAATATTTATTATAACTTTATTAGAGACTGGCAAAAGCAGTACATAGTGAGAACACAGTGTAGTGTCAAACCAAATCTCAAGGATACTTCCTGACGTTGGGATATTTAACCTTCCTAGACCTACTGAGATTATGTGTCCAAATTAGGTTATTCTTCATGCATCTATACATGTGTGAATATTCTGTTTGATATTGATTCAAAACAAGACACTTATGTTTACCTAAGTTCACAATAGATACCAACTACCTGTGTCAAAATATTTGGCATATGTATTCCTTCTCTACATTTACAGCTCTCAGAGGAAGGGAGAGGTGTGGCCTCCATAGCTAACATGCTAACTATAACCCGGATCCACAATAGCGTCTCTGCAGTAGCCGCAATGAGAAGGCAGGATAACATTCATTCTATTGCACTCATTTCTAAAAACTTGCTATAAATAAGCTGATTAATAACATGCGTATTCGTGTGTGTTCACAGGGTTGTCCAGTTAGCTCGTGACTACGCCACTCGCCGGACTGCCTTTGGAAAGCTTCTTAAAGAGCACCCACTGCACATGCAGACTCTCGCTAGGATGGAGGTGAGTTGGCAGTGGATGAAGAAACAGAGACACAAACTCTATACAGTGTTTCCCATCGTGCCTCACTCACGCTTGCTTATGACATGGACAGGTGGAGACACGTGGAGCGTTCCTTCTGGTGATGGATGTGTGTCGTCTGTTGGGCCGAGAGGAAAGCGGCATGGCGACCCAGCTCGATACACACCTGTTACGTCTGCTCACTCCTGTGGTCAAACTGTACACTGGGAAGCAGGTGCATGGCTCGTACAAATGAGATACCTTGTGTAGCGACAAGTGGCCCACCACAAGAAACCTCGCTCTCTCGGGTCACCATCTCCAGGCGCCCTTAGCGCATTATGAATTCAGACTAAGGAAAAAGGGCGACCTCTGATAAGAAGCTAGTTTCAACACCAGGTACTGGCCTGACCATCTGTGTTGAATTTCTATCTCCAAATTCAAAACTTCTCTAGTCAACCCCTCCTCCTCTCTTGCTTTAGATTCCAGAGAGTAGGGCACTGAACTGCCTTCATGTTGACACTGCTCAGTCTTAAAACACTGGCCATCAGAGTTAAAGCACTATATGGCTTGTATATTTTTCAGGCAGTCAAACAGCCTTTATGAAGGCCCCCCCAAGAACCACAACTAGTGGCTTCCAGTGTCCTGTTCTTCACCTTTATCTCATTCTCACAACACTTGTCATCTTGCTGTTTTGATACTGACAGTTAACATCCTTGTTTTGTTTTGTCTCAGGCCGTGGCTGTGGTGTCTGAGGGTTTGGAAAGCTTCGGGGGACAGGGATACATTGAGGATACCGGTTTGCCTGGACTACTTCGTGATGCACAGGTGAGGTCAATGTGTAAAAATCAACAGTACTTTTTACAGTCTTTGCACTTTTGAAGCTTACCTGTCTCTTTCTCTCTCTCAGGTGTTAAGTATATGGGAAGGTACAACAAATGTTTTGTCTCTGGATGTTCTGCGTTCTGTGGCTCGCAGCTCAGGAATGGTTCTTCACGCTTACTTCACCCATACCAAGGTACAGGGCCCAGGGTATGAGCCCGTCAAACAAGTTCAGAAACTAGTCTGTGACAGAGTTTAACAAGAATGTGTTGTGCACTTGTTTTCTTCTCCTTGTAGTCCCTGCTTGCAAGTGCATCAAGTGTTTCTTCATTGGCCTCAGCAGTCAAAGCAGTAGATGCTGCTCTCTCTGAACTAGAGCACTTTGTTCAGGTAGCAGCTACCAGAGCACCCGGCTCTCTGGAATTAGCAGCCAGAGACCTGGCATACAGCCTGGCTCGCATCTACATGGGTAGGTACCACAGTGAGTGAGTGGTTGTTTGTCTATGGTGTGGCCCTGCGATGGACTGGCGACCTGTCCAGGGTGTACCCCGCCTTTCGCCCGATGCCAACTGGGATTGGCTCCAGCCCCCTGCGACCCTGTGCGCAGGATAAACGGTTGATGATGGATGGATGGATATTGATATTGAACATTGTCAGATTCTCAATAGACAGTTAAAAAAATCTAAATTGTGCAGCAGGACCAGAGAGATGTTTTTTTTATTATTATTCACACATTCTTCTTCCTTGTTAAAACCTGGTGCCTGCATTACTCACAGAGCAACTGGAGCACCAACAGTTCAATCAGATATCATTGGGTTGTGCTAGGAGCAGCTAACATAGCATAGAGCCGCTAGCCTCAAGCAGAGATGAGGAGCAGGCTTATAAAGGTCTGGTAATCTGATTTCTTTCTAACCCCACACGCTCAGATTTTTTACATTTTTAAACTTATAGTCTGTAGCCCCAACTGATGTGTAGTCACTTCTGGCAATTTATAAGATTTGAAACAGCTCTCTCTGCAGCCACAAAAGTCTTTATACAGCTTTTTTCCACATATGCAGTAGTACTTCCTAAAACAGATTCTGATGTGTGAGTTCCCCTTTATCTATCTGTATGTTAACAGGTGCTCTTCTCATTGACCATGCGTGTTGGAAAGGAGCCTCTCCATCTGACACCTATGCAGCTGTGAGGTAAAAAATAAATAAATTTACATTTATACATATCATATACATGTAACACAAATTACTTCATGATTTTATTTTTTATTTATTTATTTTTTGCATTTATCAGGTGGTGTGAACAAGACTTGTGTCCTGTGGTGACTAAACAAGCGAGAGGCTGCTATGATCCTAGCACTCCACCACTCGATGCCGTGCTAGTGTATGACCGGCCGATCCAAGGCTGAATGTTCATTGATAACAGATGAATGTTAACTGATAACGGGTGAATCTGTCACTTAATCTGCAATTGCTGTGCCTCACTTTAATTCTGTGGCAGAATTTTTATTGTAGATGACTGAGTCCATATTTTATAACAATAATTAAAAACCCACTTCTGTAAAAACACACACAACTGCACTGTAAATTAAGTGTCTAATGCAGTGTAGTTCTGTCTGTGTGAAGCATTTTATGTGATTTGGTATTTTTGATATTTACATCTGTATGTGAAGTATCTGAATTTTTTGTGTGCAATAAATATGAAACTATAGATTTGGATTTTTTGCAGTGGAGAATGATTATCCAGACCTGGATGATTAAAAAGATACATAACACATGACCTCGGTTTCTCACATTCACAGTCATGATCACTCTCACAGTGATTAGACTTTGAAGGAAAGAGTAAACAAAGATCAGCAGACCATACCTTATCTAGAGCAGATGCAAGGAGATCCCTGACAAAATCATGAGCTTACTTACTTCTGCCTTCTGGTACTGTCTGTGAAGTTGGGGTGAGCTCAGAAACTGAACAAGATGCGAAATTGTACTGAGATTAATTATCTTGCATGTTTACTGTATAATTGTCTTTTATACGTTATTTAGAATTACCTTAATAAAGAATATATAAAATATATTTACACATCTTTTTTATCTTTAAACACTTAAGTACCGGTTTTTGTTTGGTTGGTTTTGCAGCACATTCTGAGTTTACGAGGAGTCCCTGAAGGCGGCACACGTCCTGTTGGAAAACAGTAGGAGGGGTTTCAGGCAAAGGTGGACATTGAATCTGAGTAGAGAGTCATTTAAAGAAACAACATATTAAAGTGGAGCCGCAGCAACAACAACGACGCGTATTTTGAGATTATTTTTATTTCCAGTTTAATTTTTAGCTGAAGGTCCGCACTGCGGGACTAAAACAACCCACCACGGTCACGTCAACGTACCACAAGAGAGAATGGGCGCAGCTCCAGGATGAATTAAGTGAATCATGTCTTTCACTGTTTTAATGTCACATCTGCTGGTGGTTTAGGATCACCAGCAGCACTTCGGGCTCCTCTGTCGCCAGGAACCAGCCTGGTGTCGGATTAGCCACGATGTTTCAAAACAACAACGATGAGGTCTGTGAGGTTTAATAGCTATCACATTAAAAATGTTAAGTGCCATGCGTGTGAAATGTGGATTATGTGTGTGTTTGAGTGTGCTGGCTGTTTACTGGTTTAATATTTGATGGCAGGTTGTCACCTGATTTTCTTTTTTAAGTTGTCACATGATTTGTGGGCGACAACAGGCATGAATGAAGTGTGACTACTCTGTTGAGTTTTGCGTGCACGTTCACATCCGGGTAGATGTCAGAGTCCTCCAAATACAGGAGGATCGATATAAATGTGTTATTGACTATAGTGCATAGCGAGGACAGGGAGGTGCGCAATGTGATAGTATGTTTTCCCTTCTGTTTCTTGTAGTGACTGAAGATAATGTTACTTTTTCCTGCTTTACACTCATTCAGATAATGTTTATTTAATCAATCCAACATTCATTTAACAAACAATGAGAAGTATCTCTGGGTATATTGAGCCATTATAGACCGTGTTGCAAATCATTGAGCAGGACTATTTTATTGCAGTATTGGATTTTTATGTAATTTTCTGCAACATTGCAATGAAGTTGTTATACACAGTTAAAGTGCTTCACATGGTTGAACCAGGATATTAAATATTTTATTTAGTTAGACCATTAAAATTATACAAAAATAAAACTGAATAAAATAACCCTTCATTTAACAAAAACAACAGTAATAACAATAAATCAGACAAGACATGTTGGAAATCAATGGCATTAACAGTTTTAAAGTGATTCCAACGATGTCGCTGGTTCTAAAAGCCAGTAGTCTGTAATGTGTGTGTTGTAACAGATATGTTCTTAATAATGTACACAGTGAGAGTAGGGGACAACAGGGGTCAACAGGGACCCATTGATCAATTTTGCCCCCAGCACACCAGGGCATTACTCTGGCTGTGCTTGATGTGTCTTACAATGCTTTGAATTTATGAAGCATTAGCAAGTAAATATTTGTTATTTTCACCAGGATAAATCAAATTTTAAAATTGTTTATAATCTGTCGGTGGTGCCTGTGGCTACATGTTGAGGCATTTAGACAAGTAAGAAAACTGATATTTTGTTTGTGTGTTCAGTGTGGCCTTGTGATGAACCTCAGCGCTGCAGAACGCTGTGCATTCGTGAAGAACACACCAGACTGTAACATGGAAGATGGCTTCATCAACTACCTTCGTGTGGCCTTCTGTCTGCTTCCTCCCAACCTCACACCTCTCACCATCACTCTCTGTGTAAGACCTGTGTGTGTGTGTGTGGATAGATGGAGCAGCGTGAAACTCAGCTCAGCAGCAGCTGATATTTTGAGGAAGTTGACTTTGCTCTGGGAGAACCGAGCATTATCAAACTCATGATTTACTGGCCTTAGTCATTCCACTCTTTGCTAAATGATGGATTTTTAGTAAGAATGTGGGAACTTCTTGAATTCACCTTTGTGCAACATCAAACTTCCACACAGAAAATAACATTAATCTGCGCAACAACAAACTTCCACACAGAAAATAACATTAATCGGTCTGTGTAGAAAAACGTTAGAGAACAACAGGATCAGTGTAGTCAAACAAGGCCCTGTTTGTCAGGGTCAGCTTTTTAGCATTGTTTTTGTTTATGGAGCATTAGTCTGAGTACGACAGACTCAAGAAGCACTTATGCACCTCTGAGTGTGTGTTAAGAAAGCAACAGTCAGACCTTTACTTTCCTCTGCTTCTCCACAGATTATATGGCTACTCTTTTTGTTCGTCATTCTTGGACTTGCAGCATCTAAATTGTAAGTGTCTCTCATGTTGCTAATGTCAGTATGTTTGCATCCCACAAGTACTTCTTTATGTGTCAGGGCCAGTTTTTAACAACTCGCAGAAATCATTGATTTTCAATTAATTTCAATTATTTAATTAGTTAGTTAAGTGTTAACGCCATATTTGCAGGCCCACATGTGCAGACCACACACACACAATTATGCCCTCAGTGCGGTCAGCTTAATAGTCACATGACTGTAGAGAGTTTTTTGTCATTCCTCTAAGGAAGCCTTTCCTCACTTTTGTTCTGATCTCACTTATTTTTTTCTCCTCAGTTTCTGTCCCAACCTGTCAGCGATCTCAACCAGCCTGCACCTCACTCACAACGTGGCTGTATCCTTTATCTGCATCTACTGTACATCCCTCAGAAGTTCTGAATTTGTTATGATTTTCATGTAAAATCGTACAAAGAAGTCAGACTGCTGATTCACCAACACTGTTCCTCTTTGAGTGATTTTTTGCAGTTTCACTTTCTACTTGTTAAACTTCTGTCAATCTTGTTAAGTCATTTTTTGTGAAGAATATTTTCCTTGACTGGTGTTTGTGCTGAGGGTGTGACATTTTTGGCTCTTGGTAATGGAGCTCCTGACATCTTCAGTGCCATTGCAGCTTTCTCCAACCCACACACTGCTGGGCTGGCTGTTGGAGCCTTATTTGGTAGGCACATTCTCTCTCACACACACAAATAAATAATTCTAACTATAACTATATAATAAGTTTTCTTAATATGAAAACCTTTCTCCTCATCGTGCTTGATCTCTCTCTCCCTCTCTCTGCAGGAGCTGGTATATTTGTTACCACAGTAGTAGCAGGGAGCGTGGCGCTGGTCAAGCCTTTTGCTGTGGCCTCCCGGCCATTTCTGCGTGACTTGATCTTCTACATGGTGGCAGTGTTTTGGACTTTCCTCATGTTGTATAGAGGAACCACGACACTTAGCGAAACACTTGGTACACACACATATGGTTACATTGTTTTTGCCTTCTTGACCAGATTGTTAGTTGCATGTTGGTCCTTTTTTGGAATAAATTTTTATTGAACTGTCAAATTTTAAATAACAATATATCACATGTAACACATATATACCTAAAGTGCTGGTAGATTTGACCTTTTTCTTCTGTCCCCAAGCATCAGTAACTTAATCAGAGTAGTGGTTTGTAGTAGTGGAGTGTTTTCTTGCTCAGCTATTTTATGACCCTAAACAATCCCAGAATGCAGTTCAAAGAGTCACCCAGTCATAGTTTTCTGTGAATCACCTCTCTGGTGGCACATGGGGCCAGCGACCTCTTGCAGTCATTTTATCAAGTTTCAAGAGCAGTTTACTCCAAGTTCACAATAATTTACATTTTGAGCTTCACTTTGCTACACTTCCTTTTCTAGGGTACCTGAGCCTCTATGTGGTGTATGTATTGATTGTTATCATCAGTGCGTACATCTACAACCGGCAGAAACGTTCAATGAACTCAAGTGTCCAGAACGCGGTACATATTCCAGGTTAGAAACATAAATACATATAAATAAATACATACAAATGTAATATATTCACAGTTGCCAGTGATGATATTTTTTCTCTTTGCAGCCGAGTTTGACTCGTCGGACTCGTCTGATGATGACATCCCCTGCCTGACTGGTAGGACTCCCCAACAGGAGTATGGTAGGAATTCGACCCTTCTATAACCACAGTACAAGTTAAAATACACCAGGAGTTTCTGCACGATCAGGACCATAACGTGCACGTGTGTGTATGTTTCAGAGTCAGAGTACAGGCCACTTCTGCCTTACTCTGAGTCCACGAGCAAGATCCTGCTGAGCTCTCTGAACCCGTTGGACAATAGGGAGTGGAGGAGGAAATCATGGAGCTGGAGAGTCCTCAAAGTACTGAAGGTGTGTGTGACAGTCGACAAAAACAAAGGGAAGTGTAAACAACTCAATATCTGAATGAATCTGCTTGTTACACCGATTCAAAGGAGTGAAAAGCTACTTATTTCTTGTAAATTAAGTAAATTATCTTGCACTTGTGTTCTGCACCCATCAGATACCTCTAGAGTTCCTGCTGCTGCTCTGTATCCCTGTAGTTGACCCTGATAAAGAAGACAAGAACTGGAGACGCCCACTAAACTGTCTTCATCTGATCACTGCTCCTCTGGTGTGTGTGCTTGCCTTCCAGTCTGGAATATGTAAGTACAGCAAGACTGTAGCAGGCATCATCAGATGAAATATATGGTCAAATCATTATCCTTTTTTTTTTATCTCCCTTTTTTCTTAACAAATATCTAGATGGAGATTATATAATCCAAGGGCAGTTTCCCCTCTTGCTGCTGACTCTTCTGCTGGGACTTTTCCTGTCTGCCATTGTCTTCTGCACCACCACTAACAACTGTCCTCCCAAATATCATTCAGTAAGGATTTAGGAAGATTAAAAGGAACAGTTATTGGCCAAGATGTACACCCTTTCTGGTGCGGCTGGGGTTTAAAGAGTGCCACTTTCAGGTCACATATCAGAGGATAAGACTCTAGCACTACGACATAAACCAAAGTACTGAACAAATAAAAGTAGGGACCTGATAATGGCACTGGAGGAAAAGTTGGAGGATCACCAAACTCAGTAGGCTCCTTCCTATGTGGAACATGAATGTCTGACAACATCTCATAGTCATTTATTCAATAGTTGTTGAGATATTATATTTCAGTCTGCATTAAAATTATACAGTGTTTTTCATCTGAACTCATTTAACATTAGAATCACTGCTCTTTAAACAAGTCTTATTACCAGATTTGATTAATGTGTTTTCTTCATGTTGTGATGATGAAACATGTCCTGCTGCTTGTGTGCATGTAAAAGTGTGTCTTTTTCCCTCTCCAGCTGTTTGCTCTTTTGGGCTTCGTGGTGAGTGCTGTGTTGATCAGTGCAGCGGCCTCTGAGGTGGTCAGTCTTCTGCACATGCTCGGTGTGGTGCTGAGTCTCAGCAACACTGTGCTGGGGCTGACTCTGTTGGCCTGGGGCAACAGCATAGGAGGTGATATTTGTGAACCTATGTCTTTTTTTGCAAACATTTATGTTTGTACTTAAAATCTTTGACACTTGATCTATATTCCTCTCTTTTATTTTAGATTGTTTTTCTGACATCACCATCGCCCGGCAGGGTTACCCACGGATGGCCATATCTGCCTGTTTTGGAGGCATCATCTTCAGTATCCTTATTTTTATGATCCAGGTGTGGTATAAAAACAACATGTATAACAGTTAATGACTGCGTCCTTGACTATATGTCCTTCAGACATGCTGTTTGGAGTAGGTTTAGGATGTCTGGTGCAGATGCTTGATACACACATGGATGTGAAGGTAATCTTCTCCTCAAACACACAGATCAAGAGTTTATCACTTTAGTTAAACATACAAAGAAATATTGAAGTTGCAAATACATGTCCATATGTGAAACCCATGAAAATGATGCATCTTTTGTCTCTTTCTCCTTCTCAGTTTGAAGCAGAGGGTTTATTGACGTGGATTCTTGCAGGAGCTCTTGGTTTGTCTTTGGTCCTGTCCTTCGTCATTGTTCCACTGTGCCGGTTTCACCTGGGTCGGACCTATGGGATATTTCTCCTCATCTTCTATGCCATCTTCCTCCTCATTGCACTCCTCACAGAGTTTGGCAAGATCCACAGTATATAGATTTGACTCTGAGGTCAGTCTGAAATGAGGGATGTCCTCCCGTAATGAGCAATACAAAACTCAATTGCACTCTATAACTTGTTATATTGTGACAATACCCCTACCTACCTACCTAAGGACACAGTGGAACAGAAGCTGCACATAATATTAATGCACTATTTATACAGGAATGTACACCTTGTGTACTTGCCTGCTACCCGGAGCCGCCCTGTGGTGGGTTTGGGAAAACCAAGCAGGCAAATGAATGACAAAGACTTTTCTGCTCAGGGAGAGCTGAAAATAATCATGACACTGTGCCTTTATTCAACTCCTTATTTGTGCTGACTGCTGCTATGATGGTACTGGTGAGTCCAGAGCATGGGCACCGGAAGGGTTCCAAGGGACCATTGTCCCACCACCACGCTTAATGCAATCTTCCCGTCCACCCTGTGTCTACAGCACAAGCGTGCATTTTTTACTTGATGGATCGAAGATAGCTCTAAGTACAATCAATGCAGTTGTCTGCACCGGCTCTGTGTGGGCTCATGTTGGGCACACAGCGAGCTTGCAATCTGTATCAACAGTTTTGCCGTCTATTTTCTCTGTGCGGTAAATCTGGCAAGAAAACACACTGATAATCTATTATAAACTATGTAAATAATGTATGAATATATATGAAATTATCTGGTTCTGATAAATTATGACATATGCGTCCCATGCTTGCCAATATTTTTTATTTTTCACTGTTCTGCCGGAGTTTCATTTCCCCAGATTTTTTTCTTCCCACATGATGCAATATATAGATCTACCCATCCACTACATTTATAGGAATAGTATCATGGCTGTTTTTTAATGTGATTTTTAAATTACGTACTTAATTCACATATTTGTCAGGTGTGTCTAAATAGAGTGGCAGAGAGGATCAGACACACACATAGGCAGGAGAGAATTCCCTCCCTGCAGATCATCACACAAGGCGATGGTCATTTTAACTTAAATGTTGCAGAAGAGCTTTCGTTGTAAATTCATGAGGTTATTATAAACAGCTCTACATGTCATTGGAAAAAAGCAGAGGACCAGAATCGCTGACCAGTGCTCCCACAAGGTTACATACATTATATTTATCTACTATTTGCAACCTGGACAGAGCAAAGTGTGCTGCTCTCTGCTCCAGTTTGAAATGTAGGTTAAAATACGGCCCACATTTCCCATCATGCAGTGCTGGACTAAGCAGTTTAAATTTGCGGTTTTATGTTCCAAAATGCAAAGGTTAATTTTTGTTATATGTCTGTCCAGAACACGGTGGTTGATGTTTGTAATGTCCTTTTTGTGCTGGATTATAATTTTAACTATTAGTGAAGTTGCTTGGTAATAACATGGTAATAGTGGCATAATAGTGTGAAGATAAAGAGGTAATAATCAGGTAATACTATGTAATTACTAAAGTAATAACCAAGTATTTAACCAAAATGATTAAGAAGGGGGATATAGGGAAATGTATGTAACAGAGTAAAGAATATTACCAATAAATAGATACAGGTGGTTTAGCATGTTGCAGCCCTGATTCATGGTTATGCATACACAGAAACTACCACAGGTGTTTCCAGGCAACAAGTCGCAGCATTGTATGTTTAATTGTACAGTATCAGTGTAATGGAAATTCCATGAATACCATCTTGAAACACAGTCATGTAATTAATGTTACTCACTGAGGGCCTCTGGTTTATCGGGTACTGGGTAAATGTATGTGATGTGTCCAGGGGGTCATGTCTTTCATTGTTTTACAACATGTACTTGGCTGTACTAGGGCATGAATGTCTGTACGAAAGATTTAGATTGCGGAGGACATCTTAAAGACAACATGTTCCAGTGGTAAGATAGTGCTGACCCTGAGATTTTGATATAAGCTGCATGTGCTGAGACACTGCAGCTCACTTGGATGATACTCTGATGCGTGTGTGTGTCCCAGTGACTTCCTTCTGCAGCCTATTTTTCATCCAAACTGGACTCTGTTGCAGCAGGGCTGCCAAACTGCCTGAGAGCTGTGTCACTACATCACATAAAATTGTGGGTTATTTGGATTTGACCTTGTAGGTTCTACATGCAGTGTCAGTGATTTATCTTTGTCTGATTTATCTATCTTACCACAGCCAGGTGGCTGAGATACGACACTGTGTTGCTAGACATGTCTAACATCACTGTTAAGAGATGCACTGTACTAAATCCTGCTACTCTCCTCCCAACTCTAGATGAAGGACAGCCGCATGATTATGTTGCAGTGATAACAGAAGCCTGCTCCCCAAGGGTAGACTTACAGGAGACACCTCTTACAAACCCAGACATGGAAACTGGTTGCTGAACTTGATGCTGTTGCCTAAAATGATTGCTGTGTGTAAATGTGACGCTCACAGTTTCTCAGTTTCCCCATTATTACCAATTGCTCTATAACCATGTTACATTAATTCCGGTCTAATATTACCAAGATATACCCATTCTTAATACCAAGCTAGTACCTGGTTATTATGTGGTTTTACTTAATTATTACCTCTTTAATGTAAATGTAGCTGTAATGTAAAGTGCTACCGAAATACTTAACCAACTCAAACACATTACAGAATAAGAAGAAAGGATAAATACTTTGAGGCTGTTGAGACATGAGTGAGGAGATAGCCTACAACATAATTGTTGGGTTGAGCTAAAAGGAGTTTGATTGTTTATGCTTTTGGTCTTTAGAGGACTTGGTGGAAGTAGTGTCTGTGTTAGACTGATCAGATGAGCCACTGAACTAAGGCATCAGACTTAACTTCTAGGCCTACATGATTTATGAGGTCACTGCCTACAGCAGTATCCTGTCTCCGGCGGAGTAATACAGTCCACAGCTAAGTTGTGCTTTTGCACAGGAATATGTAAGTTCTACAGTTGAGAAAATGTAGTTCTAAAGGAAATGGCAGTCTGACTGTAAGGTAAAGTGCTGAAAATATTCAAAATGTAGCACACTCTCGTACTGATGCTGATTTTTTTGGTGGGCTAAAATACGTTTTGCTGCGGACTCTGTCCACAGCAGTACATTGCTTAGCTTCTGTGCCAGTACAACTCTCTGTTTCTCCAAACTGAGGACGCGCTGACTGCCATCTACTGTAGGTAGTACACAGACTATGGATAAGTCCCTCATACATCCCAATTTCACAAATCCCGAATTGTCCCTTTAATTAGTTTCTTTTTGCATTTAAGTTACCTGGCAGCTGAGTTCTCCTTTCTGGTCTGACAAAAGATGGGGATGAGGGCGGAGCCTGGTTTATGCAGAGGCCCAAGCCAGTGACCATACCAAGAGCTCTGACAGCATGGGGGGTTCAGGGTTTCTTTGTGTTAAATTTTGGCCCTATGTTTGTTTGTTCAGCAAGTATATATGTTCCCCTTAGTCTAATTCTATCATGTCTGTTTAGCTAACAACTTGTTTTGTTAAATTAGTTGTCTTGTTACTTGTTTTGTATAATCTTTTTTGGGAAAATAAAACCAACTTTTGAACCTCAAACCTTTGTTTCCTTGTGCCTTGATTGCTGTGGCTCTTAGATCAGGAATGGTTCCTCATGCTTATGTCACCCATACCAAGGTACAGGGTCAGACTATGATCCCGTTAAACAAGTTCAGTAACTTCTCTGTGACAGAGTTTAACAAGAATGTGATGAGCACTTGTTTTCTTCTCCTTGTAGTCTCTGCTTGCCGGTGCTGCAAGTATTTCCTTATTGGCTCCAGCAGTGAAAGCAGTAGATGGTGCTCTCTCTGAACTAGAGGACTTTATTCAAGTGGCAGTTACATGAGCACCCGGCTACTAGGAATTAGCAGCCTTGGCATACAACCTGGCTCACATCTACACAGGCAGTAACCACAATCACACATACACACTTGGACTGCCATACCTCATTGGTATGGCAGTCCAAGCGCATTCTCATCCATACCAGTTCATTTTCCTTGTTCATTGTCAGCTCATCCCGTTGCCTACCAACAGGTGCTTGTAAGTTTTTTTCCATGAACAATAAATCACTGAACTTTACCAGACTATTCTGTGTGCGTTTGCGTCTAGTTGGAAGAAATAAAAAAGCCACATCCAGTCCAGCTTTGTATACAGGCAGCAGCGTTGAGAGCAGCCTCCTGCAGACCCACTCATTACCTGTGTTTGAGCAGCAGAGGCTACCCTGCCCTATTAGATAGTATTATAGTATTTTAATGTCCTACTGTTGCAATACATTTATTGTGAATTGTCCCCATAAATAATTGCACATACATTTAAATATGTCTTTGCATATTTGCATGATGACAAAATCATTGATTTTGATTAAATTGAGTAAACGCTTTAGCCATCTCGTGAAATTTTATCAACCTAGTTGGTGGGGATGAGAACAAACATTAACGTTAAGTTCTTTATCAGCTCGAGATTGTTAACCATAACCAGATCCAATGAAACATGTAGGCCACTGAGATTGTCCAGCCCTTTGGTGAATGAAAGAGATGCAAAGGCATAAAGCAATCCAATCGGTGTAACCCCTGCCGTAATTTAATGCCACGCCTTGAATAAAACAGTTTCAGTGTTTGAAAAAGCAGTCAGTCATGACTCAACATAACAATAAAACAAGATCTCCCCTTTCTTAGATCAATGGGTAGACTGCCATTGATTCATCAGACCTTGCTAATGATGAACCAGATGGACCCTGATGGTTATAAACATATTTATTTAAAAAATATTTATTCATGAATGAATGAGTGAACAGCATGAGCCATTTATAAAACAGGTAGCTATAGACCCTACAACAATGGATAAGGTAAAAATAAATATGCATTAAAATGTCCATGACACCCCTAGACACCACCTCTAGCACCTAAAAACCTTTTGTTAAACTTTACCCCCTTTTTTGTAAAACTTCCCACCCTCCGCAATTGCTACCTTTACTGTGAACAAATGGACTGCATTTAGAAGAACTTATTAGGCTTCACACTTTTGAGCTAATTTGCTGAAAACCGCAGAACAGCAAAAACGTCCTGTGAAACGTCATGGTAAGGTAAACCCCGGCTGTAGGAAAATGAGCGCAACAAGCGTAATTATTTTTTATTAATTATTTGGCAGCAACATCACCGGTATTCGGCGTGCTAGTGTGATGTCATCACTCCTTCAGCTAGGTTGTCTGGGTAGTCTTCAAACGCCACACTAGCCATGGATGATGTCTCCAAACGACGATGAGGTTTGATAGCGACCAAATTAACATATGTTAACTGTTTTTCGCATGGAATGCAGTTACTTCTGCGTGCGTGTGCTGGCTGCCTACTGATTTAATATCTGCTGCAGGTTATCAACACGTTTTATTTTTCTCCAAATACATATTGACAGAGTGCGTTGTTGTTTGCCCAACATAGTAACTTTCAGACTGGGGGCGGGGAGATGCACAGTGTGATAGTATGTTTTCTGTCCTACTTCACACTGATTTAGTTTTTCAATAAATAAAACATTAAAAAAAAAAATATATGAGAAATTCGCATCACAGTTTACCAGACCTGGATTACCAAACAGGCAAAACACCATATGCCCCACAACCACTAGCGTTTAGTTTGTGGTTATGTGATTAACTGTGAATTTTGTTTTGGTGCAAAATAGAAGCTGAAATGTTGAAGTCAGGATGTGAACTTCTCTAATGTTGAGTTGGCCCTGTCTTGTTAAGTGGCCTTTGACTTTTGCTTTACATGGTTGAATTAGGATTAAACATTTCAGGATAAAGGGGGCAGGAATACAGAGAACACACAATAAGATAATGCAAGTTTCACAAAGAGATGTAAATAGTAATGTTGGTGGTAATAATAAATTATCATTAAAATGGGGGGAAAAAAGACAGCCGTGGCACTGACAATGTTTGCAAAAGGTGCTACCATTTCTTCTTTCGAAACATTGTAGGCCTAACTGTTAACACACTTACTAGTCAATACATCAACAACATCAGTAGAGCATCGCAAAGGTCTTTGCACTGCCTTAATCCGAAGTCGATACAATTAATTCATCCTGTTAGGTTTAGGGTATGGTTCCAAAAGGCTAGTCTAGAGGTAATACATCTGCCTTACCAAATTTCCCCATACCTTGCACTAAGTGCTCAGTCCTGGCACTTTTTGTGTTTGGACCTTAATGATTGTAGCTGCGGGTGTCATGCGGGAACATGGGGATAGTAGGCGGCCCGTAAAGACAGATCCAGATTCCAGTGCCCCGGACGCAGAAATACTGCTGACAGTGACAGAAGGAGGGATGGCAGAGCACAAAACTACGGGAGAGGGAAGAAGTTTAATTAGTTAAATGCATAAATGTGATAAGAATGCATACAGATGGAGGGGGGGAGGAGAGAGGAACTCAGTGCATTGTGGGAAGTCTTCCGACAGTCTAGGCCTAAAGCAGTATAACTAAGGGAGGGTTTAGGGTTCACTTGAGCCAGCCCTAAATATGCTTTATTAAAGAGGAAAATCTTAAACCTACTCATAAATATGGAAATGGTGTCTGCCTCCCTCTTTTTGCAAGCTTCCTCTTGTGGGTGCTCTTCTTTCTGGAGGAGGTGTTGTTGCCCCTTTCCTTTGGCTTTTTTGATCTGGTAGCTTGGAAAGTAGCCTAGGACTGATCACCCTGTTGCCACTCTACCAACAAGAGCCTTCTGCCATAACCGTGCCTCTGCCACCTGCAACGATGATGGTTTAAAGCTCATCCTTGTCCATGTATGAACTTCTCAAGCCCTTATAGTATCCACCTGCTGCCAGGGACTGATGAGGCTGTGACAGTCACGTGTGTCACTTTGATGTAGTTGACCCAGAAGTGATATTGATATTGCTCGGAACATTGTGTCTTCGAAGAGCCTATTCAACCAGCTTGTGTGGTATGGACCCATAAGTGTTGGTAAGGTTCAATGAGAGGACCACCAGGCCCCTTGGCTTCTTTTGCTTCTCTTAGGAGTTGCGTGACTTCCTGTATTCTCCAAGCAGCCAGGTGTTCCAGAGGTACCCAATTTGACACATTTCTGTACCGAAATGTCGATGTAATTGTTCTTCAGCAGGAACTTTGTCAGTCGTTGGGACAAGTAGCTGAAAAATATCTTATGTGCTGAGTAGTGAGATGATTCTGAACTGCTGAAATGTTTTCCGAGTCCTCCTCCTTGGGGATCCAAACACCCTCAGCACACCTCCACTGGGTGGTGGGGATCTCATTCTCCCCCCTCTTGGGATCCCCTGGGGGTTAAGAAGGTAGAAGATACCGTGGTGCTAACCCAACATGCCCTGAATGCCATCTTTCTGTGCTGTCAACTGACTCTCCAGTAGTCACCAAACTGTTCTTAGAGGTCATCTGGCCTGTTCCCAGATGTCACTGGTTAACCAAGAAATTCAGGCTGCAAGTTACATCTCTCGGATGCACTGGGATGCATCATCATTGATGTTCCTGGGGCCATAGTGGGTTTCGGGTCTTTCAACATCTCTCTAAAAATCTGTTATTTTCACCTGGATAAATCACTATTATTATAAAAAAAGAAAGATGTTCAAATTAAATTTTTTTTATAATTTGTCTGTGGTGCTTGTGGCTACATGTTGAGGCATTTAGACAGGTAGGAAAACTGATATTTTGTTTGTGTGTTCAGTGTGGCCTTGTGATGAACCTCAGCGCTGCAGAACGCTGTGCATTCGTGAAGAACACACCAGACTGTAACATGGAAGATGGCTTCATCAGCTACCTTTGTGTGGCCTTCTGTCTGCTTCCTCCCAACCTCACACCTCTCACCATCACTCTCTGTGTAAGACCTGTGTGTGTGTGGATAGATGGAGCAGCGTGAAACTCTGCAGCTCAGCACCAGCTGATATTTTGAGGAAGTTGACTTTGCTCTGGGAGAACCGAGCATTATCAAACTCATGATTTAATGGCCTTAGTCATTCCACTCTTTGCTAAATGATGGATTTTTAGTAAGAATGCGGGAACTTCTTAAATTCACCTTTGTGCAACATCAAACTTCCACACAGAAAATAACATTAATCTGCGCAACAACAAACTTCCACACAGAAAATAACATTAATCGGTCTGTGTAGAAAACAACAGGATCAGTGTAGTCAAACAAGGCCCTGTTTGTCAGGGTCAGCTTTTTAGCATTGTTTTTGTTTATGGAGCATTAGTCTGAGTACGACAGACTCAAGAAGCACTTATGCACCTCTGAGTGTGTGTTAAGAAAGCAACAGTCTATCAGACCTTTACTTTCCTCTGCTTCTCCACAGATTATATGGCTGCTCTTTTTGTTCGTCATTCTTGGACTTGCAGCATCTAAATTGTAAGTGTCTCTCATGTTGCTAATGTCAGTATGTTTGTATCCCACAAGTACTTCTTTATGTGTCAGGGCCAGTTTTTAACAACTCGCAGAAATCATTGATTTTCAGTTATTTGTTTCAGCTATGTAAAGCGCTATTTGCAGGCCCACGTGTGCAGACCACACACACACACACACACACACACACACACACACACACACACACACACACACACACACACACACACACAAAATCATGCCCTCAGTGCGGTCAGCTTAATAGTCACATAACTGTAGAGAGTTTTTGTCATTCCTCTAAGAAAGCCTTTCCTCACTTTTGTTCTGCTTTTCCTCCCCACACACCCTCCCTCCACATTGAACACTAGTGCACTGAAGTAGCTGCATGGTAAAAATGTTTAATGTAATATGACTGTATAATATGATGGTGGTGGTGATGGTGCAGCGGATAAGACACATGCCTTTGGTGTGAGAGACCCAGGATCAATTCCCACTGTGACACATCCACCAATGTGTCCCTGAGCAAGACACTTAACCCCGAGTTGGTCCAGAGGCATGCGTCCTCTGACATATATAGCAACTGTAAGTCGCTTTGGATAAAAGCGTCAGCTAAATGTGACCTGAACTATTAAAGAATATTTTGTGGATGTTCTGAGATGATTTTCATCACTATTTGCATTTCACATGAGTATCTTTTCTCCTCAGTTTCTGTCCTAACCTGTCCTCACAACGTGGCTGTATCCTTTATCTGCAACTACTGTACATCCCTCAGAAGTTCTGAATTTGTTATGATTTTCATGTAAAATCACACAAAGAAGTCAGACTGATTCACCAACACTGTTCCTCTTTGAGTGATTTTTTGCAGTTTCACTTTCTACTTGTTAAACTTCTGTCAATCTTGTTAAGTCATTTTTTGTGAAGAATATTTTCCTTGACTGGTGTTTGTGCTGAGGGTGTGACATTTTTGGCTCTTGGTAATGGAGCTCCTGACATCTTCAGTGCCATTGCAGCTTTCTCCAACCCACACACTGCTGGGCTGGCTGTCGGAGCCTTATTTGGTAGGCACATTCTCTCTCTCACACACACAAATAAATCATTCTAACTATAACTATATAATAAGTTTTCTTAATATGAAAACTTTTCTCCTCATCGTGTTTGATCTCTCTCTCCCTCTCTCTGCAGGAGCTGGTATATTTATTACCACAGTAGTAGCAGGGAGCGTGGCGCTGGTCAAGCCTTTTGCTGCGTGACGTCATCTTCTACATGGTGGCAGTGTTTTGGACTTTCCTCATGTTGTACAGTGGAACCACGACACTTAGCGAAACACTTGGTACACACACACACACACACACACACACACACACTATGTTGCCAAAAGTTTCAGGACACCCCTCCGAATAGTTGAATTCAAGTGTTCCAATCACTTCCATGGTCACAGGGGTGAAATCAAGCACCTAGGCATGCAGACTGCTTCTACAAACATTTGTGAAAGAATGGGTCGCTCTCAGGAGCTCAGTGAATTCAAGCGTGGTACCGTGATTGGTTGCCACCTGTCCATTCTTGAAATTTCCTCACTACTAAATATTCTATGGTCAAATATTTGTGGTATTATAACAAAGTGGAAGTGATGGGAATAACAGAAACTCAGGCATGAAGTGCTAGGCCACATAAAATCACAGAGCGGGGTCAGTGCATGCTGAGGTGCACAGTGAGCAGAAGTCACCAACTTTCTGCAGAGTCAGTAGTTACAGACCTCCAAATGTCGTGTGGATTAGCTCAGGAACAGTGTGTAGAGAGCTTCGTGGAATGGATTTCCATGGCCGAGCAGCTGCATCCAAGAGCTGGGTTCCAATGAAAGGAACTGTTAATGCTTCAGCATACCAAGACAGGTTGGACAATTTCATGCTCCCAACTTTGTGGAAACAGTTTGGAGATGGCCCCTTCCTGTTCCAACATGACTGCGCACCAGTGCACAAAGCAAGGTCCATAAAGACCTGGATGAGCGAGTTTGGTGTGGAGAACTTGACCGGCCTGCACAGAGTCCTGACGCCAACCCGATATAACACCTTTGGGATGAATTAGAGATGGGATGTCATTAACCTTCATGTGCATGTAAAGGTAGGCGACCCTAAACTTTTGGCAATATAGTGTATATGACTGGATTGTTTTTGCCTTCTTGACCAGATTGTTAGTTACATGTTGGTCCTTTTTGGAATGCATTTTTTTTTGAACTGTCAGGTATTTACATTGAATATTGACTAATAATTGTATTATATAAATTTTTTTAGATTTAATTAATTTGTTTTTTTAAATAGTAATATACCATATGTACCACATGAGGCTTCTATACTACTGGTAGATTTTACATTAAAAGGAGGTTTTCCTTTTTTCTTCTCAGCAACTTATTACATTTAGTTTGTTTTAGTTAGCTATTAACAGACTTCATTTAGATTTGGTTGAAATTTAGGCCTTGAGCCAAGAAAAACATTTTTTTTTTTTTTTGGTACAGGAATTAAAAAAATAAATAAAAAAGACATTTAACACATTCAATATAAAAATGTTTGTTTTCATAAATCCGGCATGTATGCCATGATTTTATATCACCACCATCAACAGCTGAACTCATTTAACATTATAATCACTGCTCTTTAAACAAGTCTTATTACCAGATTTGATTAATGTGTTTTCTTCATGCTGTGATGATGAAACATGTCCTGCTGCTTGTGTGCATGTAAAAGTGTGTCTTTTTCCCTCTCCAGCTGTTTGCTCTTTTGGGCTTCGTGGCGAGTGCTGTGTTGATCAGTGCAGCAGCGTCTGAGGTGGTCAGTCTTCTGCACATGCTCGGTGTCGTGCTGAGTCTGTTGGCCTGGGGCAACAGCATAGGAGGTGATATTGACGTGGATTCTTGCAGGAGCTCTTGGTTTGTCTTTGGTCTTTTGGTTTCACTGTGCCGGTTCCACCAGGGTCGGACCTACGGGATCTTCCTCCTCGTTGCACTCCTCACACAGTTTGGCAAGATCCACAGTATATAGATCTGACTCTGATGCCAGTCTGAAAGCTGACTGCAGCTATGACAGCACTTTGTGAGTCCAGAGGGAAAACACTGTGAATTAACTAATGTACTGTAAATCAAAATGCTCTTGTACAAAACTGGTTTTGGGGAATTAAATTATTTTGGTTTGGTATTTGTTTTTACAGATCGTAGTAATGCTAGTCCTTCATGAAACATTGTAATAAAATAAGTAGTTACCAGCAGTATGATAGTACAGCAAAATACATCAAGACACTTGACAGTTTGAACAGTTTAATAAAATCTCTTATTAACTAACTCAAACACATTACAGAATAAGAAGTTATAGAAAAGTAAAATAGTCTGAGACATGAGTTAGGAGATACACCATAACTGTTTTGTTGGGTTTAACTAAAAGGAGTGTAATTGTTTTTTGGTCTTTAAAGGACTTGTGGAAATATTCTCTGTTAATACTGATCAGATGAGCCACTGAACTAAGGCATCAGGTTTAAGTACTACATGATTTACAAGAGGTCACAAGAGGCCTACAGCAGTACATGTACATAACATACTGTGGTAGTACAGGCTCTCTGGTAGTATTTGTTGCAGTCTCTGAAAAAACTTCGCCTGCTCGAGCAACAGACCTGTACTTCTGTTTTTCTGTCTGTAGTGACGGCTCCAGGAAGGAGGCATCATAAATTAGTCTTACAATCACATCAGTCCAAAAGGCCTCCCGACCAGTTTCCCACTGTGGCAAACGGGGAGCGTGGTGGAATTGGAGAAGACCTGGAGTGATGGGGTTTCTTAGCATTTAAGAAATGCTGAGATGGTGGTGCGTGTGTACTACTTGTAGACTGTGCGTTAGTTGATGCTGTGAGGTCCAGTCTGTGAGTTGAGCTGAGGCTCTGGGAAGGAAGACAGGTCAGAGACGAGACTGTCCAGTTCCCGCACCAGCCCTTGGTCTGGCTGAGGCAGGTTTTCCCTTGAATACTCTGCATACCACTCCTGGAGAAACATGACATGGTTAGTATGTTACGACAGACCAACTGCTGTTGTGGTAATCAGGATGATTTCTTCAGTTTCTTACCTGTATCTCCTCCTCATACATTTTCATGCTGAGGTCACTCTTTGTCCGAGACCTCCGGCCTAGGTACACCAGAGACGAGTGCTGTACACACCAACGCGGGAGGCAAAGCTCGTTAATTGGATTTCAAGTGAAGAGCAGAGGACAAAGAGTTCATTGTGCATGTGTGTGTTCTTACCCCGCCCCTGTCCATACTTTGTAGGACTCCCTGTAAAGAGTTGAGGGAGGACAGTCCTGGGCAGGTCTGTTTGTAAAGCTCCAGTGTGGCCAGAGCTTCATCACGACTCACCTCTACTTCAAACACTATCCCGTTCTCATCTACAGCATGTACACACACAAACACTAAAATACTTCACTGTCTTTTCACAAAGTACTAGCAGCTAAATAACCATGTAATAAAATTATCTGTGCATGACAATCCACACACAGTCTCACCCTCTGGGTTCTCCAGTGGTTCCCGGTTTTTGCGGCTGTAGTTCATGCGGAACACGAACGCATCCAGAATGAACGCCACAATGATTGTCATCACAACCTGGAGAGGGAAGAGACAAAATGTCATACACATGTACATTCACAAGCATTGATGCACAGAAAAAGGTAATACTTCCACAGACATATCACAAGCACAGGCCTCACCATGGTAACTATGTAAAAGGTCATGAAGTAGAGCCGGCTCCAGTGGTTTGTCATGGAAGTTACTCCTTCCTATGAGAGAGTGAACAAAGAGTGACACCCACTGATCAATAATAAGACTGCAGAGAGGTGACAGATGAAAGATCACAGATAAATGACTTTATCTTACCATGGTAATGTACCAGTTATTGACCACAGTCAGTTCAAACAGAGTCACTGGAGAAAAACAAAACAAGAAATGAATCCACAAACTGAAAAAAAGGCACATTTACACACCTAGAGAGAAAAAACATGCACCACATTGTTGTCAACAAATCCCAAGAGAATCCCCCAAAACAAAAATGTATGTCCTCAGTAGGAACAAATGGGCTTGGCGGGCTGAGAGCCACAGACAAACTGGGGAGGTCAAAAAGTTATGAGAGACTGACTAACACTTCGTTCATTTCTTGGGATTTCTTAACAATTTCAAAAATATATAATATTGCCAGCCTTATCCTTTAAAAAAATGAAAGGAATTACCAAAGCTGCTGAGAATGTTGTTGAAGTTATTGAGATAATAGTAGCCTTCTTCCAACACGGTTTTGTTGCCATATGTGATATTGATCTGTCTGTAGGAGTCTGCCACTGTGCTGGTGCTGAGAAAAATAATTGATGGAATGACAAATGGTTAGTGGAAGTAAACATAATGTATCCTCTTGTGCCACAAATGCAAAACCAGAGTTAAGGTCAACACATCCCAATCAGCCAATGTGTAGAATACTGAGAAATAAACTGCTGATGAAGGGATGACTCACTTGCAGCAGTTGGGGTAAACTACGCCTGCGAAGAACTCCATCCCCACAATGGCAAAGGAGTAGTAGAAGATGATTAAGGTCAACCCCAGGCTGGCCATCCTGGGAAAGAGCTCAAACATGGTGTCCAACACGTTACGATACCTCTGCTTTATCTTAAACAACCTGAGAGAGACAACAGACCAAAATTTTTATCATAAGAGAAAATGTGAAGAAGTGCCATAGGTACACATAAACAATACTCTTAAGAGTGAGAAATAAAAGCATACCGGAGCAGCTGAAATGGTCTGAGAACTACAATAAAGTAAAATGGCTCCATATCAAAGGCAAGAGCAATCAGGCCCAGGAAGGCAAACACGGTCACGGAGAAGTCAAACCTGGACAGACAAAACAACAAAAACATAGAACCAGTGTTTGGTACATGTTCAAATACATTTTAGTTGTGTTTTCACAAAACAGCCACGTTAAAATTACTGATGTAAAAGAACAGAATACAAATGTACAGACTCCAAAAGGGTCTATAGATTTAATATGTCAATCTAACGACCCAGTATCCAAGTTATTACTCACAGATTCCACCCAGAGCTGAAATAAGCCATCGGCCCCAAACCTGTAATTTTCAATAACACCTCTACGCCATAAACTAAAAGTGGAAGAACAGAGGCAGAGTTAATATTAGTTTAAGTGCATATAAACAGCTTTAATTAAGTCATGACGCCTTCTATGATTAGTTTTACAGAGTATGAATACTGCTATGATATTCTGTGTGAGTGTGAGACAGCAGGCAGCCTACTCACTGGTCAGGAAAACAATGTAATTCCAGGGAACTGATCTGGACCAGGAAAATCCACCTGCAGGAGGAGAGGAGGAAGGTGACATAATGCAAAACACTTTTCTTCGGTCACATGTGTTATCAGCCCCGCGACCCTGTACGCAGGATAAGCGGTTGACGATGGATGGATGGATGGATGTGTTATCAGGAAAGATCTTACTATTCAGCCTGTACGTCTCCACGAGGATCCACACACCATTGATGGCCACCACCACATCTGCAGTCACAAGAAAAGGTTAAAGGGGCATTATGGAGTTTTCAGCAGCTACTAGCATGCTGGAAACTCAGGTAAACTCCCACTGCAACCTTACCTTAGTAATAGTTTTATGAGCATTAGCTGGCTGCCCTGCCTGCGTCACTATAGGCTAGTAAACAAATCACTCCACATTTGCTTTGCACCGTTACATCTTTTCTTGCAGGCTAAATCAACATTTTGACATAATACCAGTGGTACACAGGATAGTAATATGGGTCGCGTTAGCTGGTGAAGTAATGTAGAAAGCAATACAAGTATGCACCGGATAACGTTGGCGGCGAGCTAACGTGACACTCTTCGTGTTTCTCCAGCCTTTCTAATGTTCACCGTGTTTTCACTGGACATCATCTGAATCTTGTTTGGTCTGATGGGGTTCAGCACATAAAACTTTATTGTTGTTTTTATCCTTAAGTGGAGTCTGTATTTTGCTGGGAGACGGTTGTTTTATGGTGTTAGTGTACTGCATGTCGTTAGCTGCCGTGTTGTCGCTGTAGTCTGAGAGAGGCTCGGGAGCGCGCACAGAGGTGCATCCAACCCAGCGTCCTCACATAAAAAGCAGAATAGTGGCTGATGCAAGCAACCGAGAAAACAGGCGTGTGCTTCATTTGTAAGTTAGGTTAAAGCCCATTGACAATAAGGCAGTGAAAATGTGATTTATTAATAAGTTATTTCATTGAAAAACTACATACAGCCCCCCTTTAAAAGGTTCAGGATGAGACTTTAGTCCCGGGATCTCCAAGGACAGCGGGGAGAATGTACTTCACTTACACATGGTATACTGGAAGGCCTTTGACTTCACAAGCAAGTTGATGCCTAATAAAGTAGAAAAGAAAGCACTGAGAATAAGGAACTGAGAGACTGTTTAGTCAAATAAACACACAAAAACAAACTGAAAACTTGCCTTTGAAAATGAGAAAGGTCGTGTGTGGAAGGTCATCAAACCAATGTTCTCCACTGCGTCGAGCCTAAACAACACACACACATACACTACATTAAAAACAGCCAAAAGGACACAAAATAGAGTGAATTATAACTACACAGTGCAAATGTAAGCCTACTTACCTTCCATTTAAGGCCAGTGACCTCATAGAATTTGTAAAAGTCCTGCAGACTGTAGCAGAATAGACTCACATTAAACTGTTGAATTATATGAAAATGTAACAATGCAATCACATGCAGAAGGAAGTGTGTGTCACCTGAGCATAGGAGCCCCTGAGGTATTAAGAGCTTTATATGTAAGGAAGCGATCTCTTGCAGACATCCGTGGTCTATAAAATCGCATCAGACCATCAAACTGTTTCAGTGACACACCCATTGGCCTCTGGAGAGAAAACAACATCAACACAGACCCACACAGTGGCCTTGAGTGCTTTATAAAATAAATCTTTTGCACCAGATATAAGTTAACAATACGTGGAATAATGAGGTTGTACCTGCCGGCTCACTAACAGCTGAAAGGCGTGGTCAATAGCGGAGCGTTTGTGAAGCAAAAGAGATTTAAACTTCATCTTCTCAACATCATTAAACGTATCAAACACCACTGCCAACAGCTGGAGGAAGACGGAGAAAATGACAGTGTAGTGAGGCTGATGAGTAACCATGTAATAGGCCTAACTGGAAGCCATATCCATTTTTAAATAGGACTCCAATACAATATTTCCCATATGCAAGTTGGCACAGACAGAGACAATTTAGAAGTGGTGAAGGCTAATTTGTACCAGGTTCATGACGAAATAGAGCTCTATGGAGAGGTAAACAATGAAGAAAACACAGGACCAGCGGTTCTTGGAGTATGCTGGCATCATCACATCAGGGAAACTACGAGGAAGAGGAAAGCATGAGAGACATAAGTCATGACATAGAAAATAAATAGGGTGGAATCAGCCTTTACAGACATGTGGTGAGGCAAAAACATCTCTGATGAGCTTTGTAAGCAGGAAGAGCTGTCTGCATGCTGTGTGTGTAAAGATGACTGTACAACGTGTACTTGTGTGCTTACTTTGCTGTGGTCAGCAGCACAAACAGACTGACGAGGCTGTTCTCCAGAGTGCTGAAGTACTGCGGCGAGAGGAGGAGGTTTCAGTTAGGAAATCTGACCACTCCAGAGAACAACCACCCCAAAGCCCCCAAACTTACATAACTCAAACAAACTAATGTCAGGCAGACTAAAGACTCAACGTACCGGGTCAGCTGTGTTTGGAGAGAAGAGGCAGAAACCTGGAAGGAGACAACAGGATAGTCAAACACAACTACTCACTATTAAGAAGTAACAGCATTTACTATACAATAAAATTAAAGATTTTCTTACCCAATATAGCAAATATAACCATGAAGAAGAGCAGCAGTAGGAGGATATCAATAAAAGGTGGGAGGGACTGGAAGATCTGACGCAAATTTCTGATCAGATGAAAGAAACCTTGTCAGTGACGACTGCGTTTAACAGTCAAATCAGTGGTGACAAAAGCATGAATAAAAAAAACATGAAAGGAGAACATTAACTAATTCACATATCATTAAAACAGTAAACATCATTCAAAAATGACCCTTTACTTTTTAAAGTGTAGGATTTAATATTTTAGACGCTGGTGACTCCTAACAGTAGACGCTACCAATGTATTCTCAATGGATGTTTTTAAGTCAAATGGAGCACAAATCTATTTGGCTGCAAGTCACTGTTTTTCTTTCATGCAGTATGAAAAGAATTACACGTAGAGCCAGGGAAGGCTTGTTGCCCTGTATGGTCTTTTCATTCTCTCTGGTCTCTTCCAGGATACAAAGAGAATTTGGTGTGGGTTGTTCTCAATTGAGGAAGCTGAAATTTCTACTTTGTGGCCATGACTTTGACCAGTCTGTGTCAATCTGTGTGTTTGTTTAGGTCATTATGTACCTGCGCACTGCACCACAGTATCTACAGTCCACCAGGAAAATTGGTCTGAGCGCTCTAGTCACTCGCACATGAGACGTCTGTCTGACCAGAACCACTATGGCCTCCACGAACTGGAGCAGCAACACACACGTCTGAACAAGGAGAAGAGACAAAATTAACCACATTAATAGATGCTGATTCCCAAACTATAAGTCACTGACCCTAACCTCTGACTTATCTGTAGAGCAAGGAAAGTAAAAAAAAACAAAACAGGATTTCTCTGTGGTTATTGCAAAATTACAACATTAATATGGCAACAGAAAGCACCCATCATGCATCGCTTACCTTCACCATGGTCCTCTTGTGTCGTATGAAGGTGTGGAAGCCTAACCAGCGGAGTTTCATGCATAGCTCAAATGCCACCATTACCAAAGCCAGCAGCTCCAGGGTGGCATGGACCTGCAGAGGTTTCAAATACGCCGGTGCTTTTACAGGAAACTGTGTGGATAAGCTTGCGTTTGTATGTGTGAGTGTGTTTGTATGTATATGTTCACTCACATAGACATCCAGGCGCAGGGAAGGAACAGCGGGAGCTTCACACAGCGACAGCATCATCAGCAGCAGCCCTGTCAGCAGCTCCATTAAGTAGAACAGGTGGTTGTGGGCAAACAGGTATGCTGCCAGTGCCTTTGGGTTTCGAGGATGGGTGAAGAACTTATCATTGTTCTCTCCCTCCTGTATGTGAAATTCAAAGGACACATACAAACCACAGAATGTAAACCTTTTATTTTATTTTTGGGGATTTTAGCTGATTCAACCAACATCCCAGTATCTCTGGTCTGACAAACACAATGTGTAAGCATAATTTAAACCTGCCATATTGATCTGATGAAGCAGTGCATCACTTATAGATGAGTCCTGTTGAAATACACAGACTTAAGAACACTCAATTCACTCTTTCCTTCTCTTAACTACTGTATATTTTTTTTATTACCAAGTACCATATCAGTGCTCTTACAGACTCTTGGAGTGGTCCCCAAAGTGGGGGCATGCACATGACCAACAGACATTTTGACTTGTCAAACACAGGTGCAACTAATAGCATGAGACCAGCAACCGAACAAAAACTATTCAAATGCTAAAAGCTTCCAAATGCACATCATCCCTTACACATGTCCATGCATCTATCTACAAAGTTGCATCTTTTCTTAAAAGGTACCCTTTTACACACAAATATTCAAATATGTTTAGAGGAAGGAAACACACGTGTTTTCGTGAGAATAACTGTAAAAACTGTGCGTCATTATTTCCTTTAGTATTTTAAAGTTCCTTGTATCTTAACTTTACTACTTCCAGCTGCTGTTCATGAGGTAAATATAGATAACTGACAGAGTGCCTGGTTTAACTATCTACAATAATACAGCGTGGAGGGTGCAATAAAAACCATTATATGACCATGCAAACTCAGGATCACTTGCCCTGCACACAAATAACAAATGCCATAATCCACTGCTTGTGAATACCTGCAGGTAGATGGCTGCCTCTTGGTAGTTCATCTCCCAGCTTTGCCGTAAGGACACATTTTGGGCTCTGTAGTTTTGTGGCCCAGGTGTTGAGATCACAGCGTTGTTCACTATGTCATAATTGCCTCCTCCATCTGGAAGAAAACACTTAAATGTCAGTGTGTTGATGCAGCCCATATTTAGGTGGAAAAGAACAACAAACAGTAACTAAAGTTGTCTTTTAATGTCCATATTTATCCTTCCTTCAGCACCTTATACAGGTCACATATGCACACACAGAGTACATAGAGGGGCATGTGCCTACCAATGCAGTCTAGGTCTAACTGTGAGGAATAGGAGGAGATCACTACTGGATTCTCGTTATGGGTCTGATCTTCATGGAAATCAGCTGCCTGCCCACATAAGCACTCCATTGATCAGTTTGGATTTGCCTGCGTGAACGTATTAAGGTCTCTTAAGTCCACAGCACAATGTGTGTGTGTCATTCACAGTACGCTGGTCTTGTTCCAGCATCCACACACATCTGGAGATACAGATGGCCAAACATTTCACTCAGGCCTGATGCAAACTCCAGAAACACAGTCACAAGGGAAGTGTGGATGCAAGTCCTCACAGATCCAGAAATATCCAGTCCAAGATGGAAGTTAAAGTGGCCCTGGAGACAGAACACCATTCAAAACTATTGGCAATACAAACAAAGTTCAGTACTTCTTTGACAACCGGTTCCTTCTTTTGGAAAAAGTGTCTAGAGACACTGTCACCAGTGACAGTGAAATGTGACTGAAAACACTTGCACACTGAAATTATCCTCCTGTCTTATGAATAGAGTTTGAATTTTGAACCCTGTTCTGCCAGTCAGCAAGAAAGAGGCATGTCTGCACTGATGTCACATTGACTATTATGCCTCCTTCCTGCCAGATAGAACAGACGAGACAGATAAACCACACTAGGAGTTAATCAAATACTACAACTTCAAAAGACAGGGAAGACATACAGATATCTAATAACACTGAGAAAGCAGCATGCCATTTTACGACTTAACGCAAAATTAGGTAATTAGGACTGTTAAATGACACAGATACTACACAGGTACTTTGTTCTTAAACCTGCCACTGTCTAGAAAATTAACTCAAAAGTAACCTGAATTTACAGATCAGGCAGGATATCTCATAAATATAAGTCACAGATTCTTTCTTGAATAAGCAATCCCTCCATGTGTCTTTCTGCAGCTGCATATTTTAGTCCTGTTTGAGTCTATGCAGGTGCTCCTCCCACGCACTGTACATCACATGATTCAGCTTCAGACACGAGTTCTTGGAATAATATGTAGTGGAGACCAACTGTGTTTCTGAAAAGCAGTCACAGACTTTTCCCGTCCACCAGGACAGCAGCAGATTGAGCTGAAGTGTGAAGATCAAATTCCAGTCCAACGGCAGCCTGGCTGTTTTCCTGACTGGAGTTCACCCCGTATCTGCCGTGCGCTATTCCGACCCCTCATTTGTTTGAGGACAATAACATGTTTGGAGCTCCCAGTCAAAAACACAGTGCGCTCAGGCTCACATAAACACAAACAGGCTCAGCAGCCAGGAGTGTTTCTCCCAGGACAAATAAAATCGAGTTTTGTGGTGATCTGAAGGGTTCCGACCACCAGGAATAAAACTGAACTCCAAACTTCTATCCAAGCTTGCGATTTGTCACTGAGGTGATACAACGCAGCCTTCTTTCTCAGTGTCCAGGTTCAAAGTCCCTCTCTTTATAGAAAGATCCAACAGCAATCGGCAAGAACAGCTGGGTACTTCCTCCTTGTCCACCCCTCCCAGATATCCTGAGAAAAAAAAAAACTCCTCTCCTCTTCCTGTTCACCTCCAGAGCCAGAGAAAATGATCCAGCAGGCTCACACACACAGACACACTTGCACACAGGCTGCAGACATTCACACACACAACACACACATGCTGCCCATGAGCACCAGGGAGGGGCTGGGGGGGAGGGAGGTGGGTGCATGGCTTGCTGAGGCAGCAGTTTCCCAGATGGGTCATTTTGTAGCTTATATGTGAGGAATACAAAGGCAGCAGGATTACTATGTTGAGTGGATGCATGGATACCCATACATACTGCAAGCACGCACACACACTAACACAGTCTCTTTCTCCATTAAAGCAGTACGGCCTGGACGTGCAGCACACACTCAGCTGACTGTCAACAACATTAAATGGCTTCAGACTGCACAAATCAGGTAAGTAGAGGAACCTTAACTTCATATCACAACATATATACCGTTGTAATTACATGTCCAATACGTGTTTGTCACAACACTACAGAATACTAATACTTTTATTAAGTACAAAAACAATGCATCATCAAGTCATAAATGTAGTATGACCACCTGACAAGAATAACACATCTTTAAGTGAGCTCATACAGAGGAAACCAACCATCAAGCCTATACTAAGTTGCTAATTTATTTGGTACACGTAACTTAAAATATTTGTGTTAAACTGTTTTAGAGGTGTTGATTCAATGTTATGTCATTTTGGAGGCTGTACTTTGCTGTGATGTTAAATTTAATATTCACCTTATTTAATATTAATGAGGGTAATCTAAAAACTGGAAACACCTATCATTACAATACAATACAACTACAGCCTCCAACATGATCATCAATCACCGAACAGTTCCAACAAAATCTGAACATTATAGCCTTCATGGTTGTAGGATTTATTGCAAGGCTGTTAACACTGAATGCTTTGTTTTGGCATTGTGAACCAAATAAACATGCAACTGAGTGAATTTTGCATTAATTGAATATCTAATTAGATGGCATATTAGGGCAAATGTAGGTAATACACATGCATACATATAAAGAGAGGGACAGAGAGAGAAAGATGGAGGTGGTGTAATCAGAGAAAAACCCTACACACTTTACAAGAAAAAATAATATGGAATATTATAAATTTACAAGAAAAAAAAACTCAGAATTTTATTTTCAGGTGTTCTTGTGTTATTAAATGTTTGGTATTAAAAGAAGGATATTCAGATATTAATGACAACAGCCGACACATCTAAGATGCTTTCATCATCCGGTATTATAAGAAGCTTCCTTTTGTTCAAAGACAAAAAACATTGTAAAAAAAAAAGAGGAACAACTGCAGAGTTACCTACAACGGCCCTGATACGCCGTCGTACCTAATACCAGCCATGGGCCTAGCCATACATACGTAGTTTACATAACTCCGCTATGGATGAGGATAGGACAATAAAACGTACTTTCATCCCCTCTCTCCGTCTCCTCGTTGAGCAGATCACTGTTTGCTTCGTCCCAAGTTAAGATGAGAGGCACGTCGTCGTCAGACTCCATAGTAGCAGATAAACAGGCTGCGACCAGTCTTGATCAAGTTCAATTTGAGTTAATACAAGCTACGCACTAGCTAAATACGTGCATAGTTTGTTCTGCAAAACGACTGCACATCTTTGGGTGCGCACAGCTAATGCTAACGTTAGTTGTTAGCGAACAAACCGAGTTACTTTCTTTAAGCTGTGGTGAGATGATAACTGTGAGCTAACAAGTTAAACCGTCTGTGGTGAGATACACAGCACATGAACTAGCAGCCTTCAAGTCGTTTAAAGCGGACAAGGCCTGTTGGTTGCAAAGATTTTGTCTTTGTCCTCTCACAGATGTCATCTGTCACCGAATCAACTGGTTCACAGTAACTCAGGCTAACAAGCTGAGACAGTCCGTCTGTGTCCATCACGGCACCATCACCGCACAAAACGCTTTCTGCTACATAACAAATGTTGTGCCTGTTCTGATAAATTCTAACCGACAATTAAGTATAGCAATTTTGTATATGAATTCCTCTCTACGCACGAAACATTCCCTGACACTTACTAGCGACACTACAAAAGCTCTACAGATACTTCAGATACTACAGCAACAAACATTCGCGACACTGAAGCAATTCACGGCATGACCATTGCCAAATTTTCAAAATAAAAGTCAGTGAATATAAGACTGCTGTGAAACCCTTAATTACATGCCATCACATTCATGTATTATTTCATTAATTTATATAATAATCAGTTGTGCTTATATGTATTTTCTGCATCATAATCGATCCGCAATATGCGCCAGTGATTTGATACGGTCACCCGCATTAGTGGTATCCTAGCAACAGAGGGAAAAATATCAACAATATTTTCTGCTTGTGGCCAACAGGCGAGTTGAAAGGTAACTTTGTAGCTAGTTGACAAGCTTACTCCATATTTACATCTAAACTGACACAAGTTAAAGTGACAACTGTCAGACTCCTAAAGAAACAAGCAAAATAGGAGCGGTTTTTAACAACTTAATGTTAAAAATAACGAAACAACTTAAATGTGTAGAGTGATGTTGTCTAATTTAACACACGCGAATGCTAACTTATTTAACCTAGAGTTAACTATTAAAACGGTCGTGGTTTACAAATGTAATGTACCAAGAGTCATATGGTGCAAAATGTAGCAGCTAATACAATAGTTACTAAGGGCCAATGACATGAGGCTACAGTAGGCCGATATGAGTGGTTCCTAATCAGTGGTGGACAGTACATTTACTCAAGTAATGTTCTTAAATACAAAGTTGAAGTAGTTTTTGAAGCAGCTTTAGTAGTTACTTGACTAATTGGGCCTTTTACACACAAAACATATAGAGCTTATAAAATATGATGTTTTGTTTCTGTTACTACCCAACAGTATATACAAGTACAGCTGAAATGATAAGTTGGTTGACAGAAAATTTATTGGCAAATAGTTTGATTGTTTAAGTAATTTTTCATGCAAAAAACATTTCATGGTTCCAGCTGCACAAATGTGAAGATTTGCTGTTTTTCCTTTGAATTATTTTAATCATTTAAAGGTAGTGTTGAGTTGTGTACTGTTGCTTGGACAAAACAAGCATTATGAAGGTGTTACTTTGGGCTCTGGGGTGACAGCATTTTTCACTATTTAAAGATTTTTTACAAACAATTTTGTTTTGATATTACTTCATTGGAAGTAATCCCCTCCCCTCTGCTATGAGGCCTGGATTAGGGATGTTCTTCATTTTAGCAAATTAGAAAGATCAGGTACACACTGCATGGACCTATGGTGAAATTTCTTATACTATGGCAACCCCTCTTTGACCATATAGCAACCTCAGTGAAGCTGGCTGTATTGTAGTTGGCTTTATTTGCTGTATTATTACTTTTCCTCTCTTTTAGATTTGCACCATTTATGATCCAATTGTAATCTGTAGTGCCAACAGTAATTATTTTTAATTACACCGTGAAGACCAAGAATCCCTTTTTTTCCCCTCTCTCTGCTGGTAAAATAGCCTATGCAAGTGGCTGGTAGATTTGCTTCACTCACCAGCCAAAAAAAACAAACAAGTAATATTGAGTGGCTGGTAAAATTGGGCCATTCACTAGTCATTTGCTAGTGGACAAAAAAATTAATTCTGTACCCATAGGTGCACTGAGATTACAAGATTATTTGTTTGTTAAGTATTCTATTTTCCTACCATCCATTGACAGTATGTCTGCAAAGGGGGCAACGGTGCTGTCAGAGGCAAAGACCCAGTCGGATGATCCTCTAAAGGACCGTGGACTGTCACAGAAGAAGCAATTTTCCCTTGAGGTCCAACGCATCTCAAGCATACTGGAAAACTGCATCAGTCAAGTTGAGATTGCAGCGACTCTCCCTGCTGTCCTCCAGTCAAACAGTGCATCAGGTGTTGCGGACCAGGATTTGAGCAGGGCTCTTCAAGAGCATCAAATGTTAGAAGAAAGACTGGAGACACTAGAACGTCTCAAGCAGGAGTCAGATGGGGAACAAGAGGGAGAAGCAAGGGAGAGAGCAAAGGTTCAGCTTGAGAAGGACATCAAGAACTCTGTCAGGAATCTGCTCAGGATTGTCCGAGCACGTCCAGATGCCATGGGTTTGAGGGCAGAGCTAGTTATGGAAGTAGGGGAGAGTGAGTATATACTAATTAGAGAGCTTCAGAAGTTTCACTGCCATATGGTAGAAAAGTTGCTGACCATTGTGGATGAGGAGCTACAGCTGGTTCTTTACAAGCAGGTGCCTTCACCCCCTGCCTTCAATCTAGAGCACATGGTTTCAGTGGAAGAGGGATTAACTACTGCCATGAAGGAAGTGGACGCAAAGGTGAGGCATCAAGTTGGATATTGAAGACGAAACCTTCACTTACAAGAGTCTGGTTTACCACAGGTAGAATTTGCTTGGATGCAGCTAGAGAAGAAAAAAATCCAGATTTTGTACTTAAGCCAACATATCCTATGCTCTTGGCATGTTTCATATCTAGCCTCTTCTATCTTGCTGTTTGCATCACAGATTTCTCAGAAAAAGGATGAGATTGAGAATTTGCGGGGTTCTCTGCAAACGAAAAACACCCCAGAAGCAGGTATGTCACTTCTGGCAGACAAGCAGTGTCAGTCACTCATGAAGACATCAAAGTTGAAGCAGACCAGCATAAAACGGGAAATTGATCAACTGAACATTCAGCTCAACAACATGATCCTTGAAAACAGACAGGCGGAGAAAGTGATCCAAGAGGTATGTTTAGAATATCTAACATTTCACAGTACATATTTCACATTTTAGTGTCAGTGACATATTTAGTTTTCATTTAAACCCATGTCAGCTGTTACTGTTTTTTTTCCCTTGGCAGAAAAATGAAAAGGTGGAGACAGAAATTGAATACTTGCTCCAACATTTTGACACTGAAATAGAAGAAACCCAGGTACAAACCCAAACAAACCTGCAAAAATAAATCTTCAAACAGGGCCCATTTACTATCTTTTCCCAGAGCCTTCAACCTCATCTCACAGTCTTCATCAGCTGATGGCGTTACTCAGTCCATTTGCTAAGGAAGAACATCTATTGAGATGATTTTGTCAAACTATATTCAGGATATTGTGTATATACATCATCCTGCTCTAAAATATTCCTGTATGGATTGTTACTGTGCAACAGGAACTTACACATCTGCAAAACCCTTACAGTAAACAGGGTAAGGAGTATCAATGTCACATTATCCAGGCTAAAAAGTACATTTTCTCATTCATATGACAGCATGTAATATCACAGCCTGATAATCAAACTGCCATTTTGTTTAACTTCATTTGTTATTATCTAACCAATGAACACACACAGATCGGGCACACACAAAATTGTTTTATTTATACGTGGTCATTTCACGCAGTGACATCAGGTGCGTCTCCGGTTTGAAATCCAATGTGCGCCAGGCCTATTTAATTGGTTTAGGCTCATTTCAATCTGGTTTTGCCATTTACCATTGTTTACTAACACTGTCACTATTCTCATTTAACTTCTTTTTCTCCACAACTCATCACTACCTACTACCACATCTCTTTCTCTAACTGCCATCATCACCTGACTCAGGCCAACCTGGAGTTGAATGAAATGGATTATGAAAGGGAGGAGGAGGAGCTGAGGAAGCTGGAGAAACCCCTTTCTGTCCTGGAGGTGGAGTACAACCAGGTCATGGAAAAGCGTCGGCTGGCAGAAGAGAAGAGAAAGGAGGAGATGAGGGAGCTGTTGTTGAAGACCAAAGCCGCTATTTTTGCCCAAGCCTGGTGGAGAGGCTACAGTACTCGAAAGGCCTTAAAGAACAAGGGTAAAAGCAAGAAGGCCAAAAAAGGCAAAGGCAAGAAGACGAAATAAACCACTGGCTAGTTTTATTACTCTGGTGCTACACCGACACACTCTCTACCAGTAGAACACAAATGTTTTTGGATGTTTTATATAAAAGAACCTTTATATACCATAATACCCCATATTCAGTGTATTTGTCATTCATGTCTTGTTTTGTAAGTAAGGTATTTTATGTTTTAAACCAGCATTTACTATTTTTGTGAACTACTGAATATAAAGGATTTCAACGCTTTCATCTCTTTGACTCTGTCAGCTTTGTTATGAGGGAACACCTTTATAATTCTTGTTAGTACATGGAGTTTAATGACCTTAGCAAATTTCCAACATAGCTCTACTCAAGATGTACTCAACTGAGAACCGGTCTGATCAGCCGGTCTGATAAGTTGAAACAGGGAGGATGCATTGGGTATACAAGTTGCTGTTTTCTTTAACGGCCACAGGGAGGCAGCACAGGACCTTGCGTTCTGAATTATGAATTATCAATACAGGTTCATTTGTCAGTCCTGCAAACAGGGGGAGCCAAGGATTGAACCACCATCAAGTTAAAACAAGTCAAGTTGAAATGTATAGTTACCCCTATCAGAACCATTGCAAAACTTATAATCAAGCCCTGTTAATTACAGCGAGGATCTAAATGAATGCCCTACTGACCACTTGCTAATCTCATTGGTAGGTTATTAGCATTATTCCCAGCATCACTGTATTTAGGTTTAACTCTCCAGAAACCCTTTATCTACTTTCATTACAGCACATTTCTATTACAGTACATTTAGGAGATTTCCATGTATCTGTGGTTAGTCTCGTAGGTCTTTTTCCTAAATTAAAAAAAACAAAAAAAACAACCTCTAACCCTTATTATGGTAGGTGCTCTCTTCTGGATCAAAAATGGCAGCCAAATTTATACTCTACCCTGATTGCTTACTGACTGATGAATATACATAAATTACATAGCAACTAGGAATCCTTGTCAAAATGATTAATCAGTTGTTAATTGCACTCAGTCACTTAAGTTTATTGAAGTTCATTGTCTTCAAGTTCAGTTAACTCAAGAGTTTTACATCAAAACAACTTATAAACTTTAAATGAACTACTCATTGCTAGTTTTCGGTGAATTCAGTTTTAAATTCACAATACTGTAAGGAGTTTAATTGAAACATCCTAATGTTTTGATTTGGGATGGCCCTTTTTAGTCTTCTGGTCCCTTTTCTGTCCTTCATTCTGCCTTTGTAAGGGAGTTTGATGTTGTCTCACTATGTCATCGTGGTCAAGGATGAACTGCTTGATCTAAGAAGGAGACAATAGGAAACAGTATGTTAAATTCATTGTTTTCTGTTACTCTGGCTGTTTGTCTCTATATCTGCTCTGTAACGGTACATACCCTGTCCAGCTGTTTCTCTGTGTCATTCATATCCACACCCTCCTCTCCCACTATCTTGTCATCTATCGTTTCATAAAGGTTGAGGGTTGCCATCTTAATCTGTCCCAGTAGTAGTGTTTTCTTTGCTGCCGTTTCTTGAATCTGGTTCCAATTCCTTTCCTGTAAGAACACAGGGACAACTGAATGTATTACAGAATGGTAGATGAACTTTTTAATCTTGCCGGACTTTGGCCTGGGATTAAGTCTGGTACCCATATTAAAGTTTCAGAGCGCGCCTTCTCTAGCTCTGTCCGGAGATCGGACAGCTGGTTGTTCTTGTGCAGCCGCATCAAGTGATTCTTGTCCTCTAGTGTTAGCAGTGCTTTTCTCTGCTGGTCAACCTGATCCTGCACCTCACTCTCCTTGCGATAGAGCTTATCTCTGAAGTGGAGAAGACTCTCTAAATGACCTGTGAGCAGCTCCACATCTTCGAACTGTAACACACACACACACAAACACACGTTAGTTGTTTGGGCCCAACATTGAACTTCATTATCTACTCAAAACATGTCATGCTTTTCCATAGTGGTTTAATGGCGGAGAGGGGGCAACCGAAATAAATAACACATCACAACATCATACAAAGGATTTGAACTTTTCTGAAATAAAACAATAGAGGCCAGAGGCGCTATTTCACACAGCAATGCCATACGTTTAAAGATTGTGGCTTCCATTAAGGCCATCATCAAGGGACAATATGAGTCTTTCAAATAACAGATGGTTTAGGAAATGGATAAATATATTTTATGATAGACTACTGCTGTACAATACACACATTTAGATTTAGTCACAAGTTTCCCTGCCACAAAAAAATCTTTGCAGTACCTTTGTCATTTTGACCACGCGCTCCATGAAGTCCCGATACACAGTGTGTCTCTGCACCTGATGCTCTACCTCCTGTTTCTTCTCCATCATTTCAGCATGCTCCTCCTTCAGCCTCTTTATCTCTGCCTCTTTTTTAAGGCCCTCTTCCTTCTCCCTCTCTGCTTTCTCAGCAGCTTGACCTACATATTCATCCTACACAGAGGAAGATAGAGGGATTTACTGTGGTGGGGCTGTTGCTGTGACTGAAATCCAACATGCAGAGTCTAATACAGAAGTTGTGTGAAATGATCCCCTACTGTACCTACCTTAAGAAACAAATCAAAGCCTGAGTATAACTCCTCCACTGTCTTAACCTCCATCTGCAGCTCATCTATGCGCTGTTGAAGACTTTCCAACAACTACATGAAACACATGAAGCACACACAGTAGACAAAAGCTAGATTAGCTGTTCAGGAATATGTCTGATGGCATTGACAGTCAGGACAGTGAGCATTAAGATATCAATCAAGGAATCGAGGTCTATATTTAAAACAATATATACAGTTATTTTCATCCATATATACTTATACACATATACAACCAGAAAGGAATAATTATAATTACATCTATAATAATATATATACATGTTATACACTGGGTAACTGCTAGGTGTTACGTCGTGAGAATAACGTTAACACTGGTGCTTTGATTGGCTAGCTCCTTACTTTGACGTGTCCTTGTGATTGGATGCTAGCTCGACCAATTTTTCTGTGGAATTTTTGCTAGCAACACATGTGACACTATTGATGTGGATGATAATGTAATAATAATAATAATCTAAATATATTTTAAATTTTTATATTTACAGTGGGGACTTCCCCTTCATAGCCTATAACATTTGTTGCAAATAATGTATTCATAATCATAACTTTGTTCACTGAACGTTCCTGAACACACTCAATCTTGCGTTGCCATCAAGTGTTAGGAATGTGGTTTTTCTGTTCATGTCGAGCACATCAAGAATAACATAGGGTTAAAGAAATTTCAGTTAAAATAAATTTAAAATAATTTAAATTAATTATTACATTTAGGGAAAATGTTGTTTATTATCTTAAGCTGATGATACACAGAGCAACTTTTATAGCATTGTTACTGTCAATGATTACTACCATAATGCCCTTCCCCCATCACTCCGCCAGTCAAGATGGAGGAAAAGGTAACAAAACTGGGGTATTATTCATCTCGTATCATTAATGGGTGATAATATAAGCTACTGGGTATGGAATAAATCTCCAGATGCTCTGGTTCACAATGAAGCCAAACTTTTTTAATAGATGTCAGTTTGTGAGCCATGACAAAGGCCAAAATGTGACCTTCAATAGACTAGGTAACCTTTGTTTTTAGCCTAGTCGATAGCTGATGTCACCACTATTAGCTTTCTATAATTTCTATGGTTTTCTCTCATTTTCCAAATTTTTCTTAAACACTTAGATATCTTGCATTGCAATTGGACCTTTTTTACCCCTGCCTGTGACTTATCTTTGCCAAGCCTTGAGGGGATCATGCACTTGGTCGTGTATGTGACCCATTAGTCTGATATGTTTTGTGCAGATTTATTACTGATGCTCAATGACCTCTTGTGGTTGCAGTGATTTACAATTTTTGAACAATCTTTTTAATTGACTGAGCTTTTCATAAAGCTTGGACATTCGACTTTTCGCCATTTTACGATATGCATACATAGCAACGGGCATGACACCCACAGTGGAGTAGTGGCCTTCAAAGTTGAAAAAACTTTAAAATTAGGCCACATAGGTCCAATATGGGTGAAGTTTCAACATCTGGATAGCTTATTTCTCGCCTCTAATTTGTTCAGAAACTTATTTTGGTGGACCTATAGGTCAAATAAGTTAAAGTTTCAAAAGGAAACACATAGAAGCTCAACACAGATGCGCAGGGCAGGACTTGGCGTGAAAGAAGTGGGAAAATTTGGTGTGAACACTAGGAAACGAAAAGCTGTCAAATTTTGGAGTAAAGTGGAATCTCTGACGTTGTGGTTCCGACGGCAAGTTTGAAAATAGAGTCAGAGGAGGATGTGGAGAGTGATGCAGGACAAAGGACATGAGAGGATTTGTAAATAAGAAAAAGGAAGAAGGAGCTACATTTCAAGTGATAACAATCGAACAGATGAGACGTATCAAGTTGGGGTGATAGCTCTGACACAAACAGACAGGATCTTCAAAGATTCACACAAGGTAGGATATTTTGCTGTGTGGTCGATCACGGTAACAACAAGTGGAATGGTTAACAATGATTGTGTGTCAAGGCGGCAAAGAGATAAAGCACCGAGGATCAAAGTGTATGAAGATCATAGCTGTTTGTGCTGCTTCCACCTCGGGTCAGAAATAAAAAAGAAAGGAGTGATTAGTTACATACTGCTGTCAGTGGATCCCAAGTCATTTCGGAGTATGAAGATGTTTGTGAGGCAAGAAGACTGACAAGAATCCAACAAGGGGAGAAGGAGGAAAGTAATTTGATGTGTCTGATCTTTGAGGGGGAATTGCCGGACAGGATATATTTGGGTTTCAGGTTGAGGATGTATGAGAGAGCTCCACTGAGATTTTCTCCCGTCAGGAATATGGACATGTTGCTACAGAGGAGTCAGAAGATTTGGGATGTGTGGGAAAAACAACTGTAAAAGGGAGAAGTGTAAGTAAAGTGCATACACTGTGCGGGAAATCACCATACTGGGTCAGCACAATTAAGGGAATGAAAGATATACCTAGAAGTGAGTAAGAGAGGAAGGGGGTCTATCATACGCCAAAGCTACCGAAAGAATGGAAAGAAAGGATGAACGAGCGGCAGTGTAAAAAGGAACAGGAGCTGAAAACGAATGGAGCCGATCAGTATATGTTCTGCATGGATAAGAAGCAATTTTTGGCATTCATTGTCATGGTAGTAAATTGTAAATCAGAGAGGATTAAGATGGTATTGGATGCTGCAAGCAGATTCTTGGACATTGTGGATGGTGTGTGTTGTGGGAGAAGAGACAGACACTAAGCTGAGGGAAGGATTTGCACGAACTCAGACAATTGAGTCTGAGTTATAATGGACAAGGTTTTCAATGGGAATACTTCGGGTGGAAACTGTACATTTTTTGCACTGGGAAACTGTTTCATCCAGTAGGTGGCTGTAATGTATCATTTTTGGATGCCAACCGCCATTAAAACTCAAAGAAGAAGAAAAAGCGCAGACGCTAGAAGTAACGTTAGGTTAACTTCGCACCTGTTTGCGCTCCTTCATCTTTGCGTTAAGCTCTTCCTGCTCCCGTTGTTTCTTCTGTAGATCACAGATGGCAATTCTCAATCTCCTGTCACGCAAAACGTCTCCTGTCGTCGCACTGCTCGCCCCCGCAGACAAACCCCTGTTGACACACAAGCATAATGGAAAGTTATACACCGTTCAGATTGACTCCACCGGGGGGAACCGCTCCACATGAACTCACTGTGAAACCTGCTCCTCCGGGACGGTCTTCGAGTCCATGACTCTCTGCTGACGATTTTCAGACAAAGTTAACAGTCCTGAAGTTTCTCTCTTCCTCCTGCTGTAGTTGGTTGGTGTTGCTTTTCAAACTCAAACGAACGTCCCCCCCTCGTTTCTATGGTAGCGCAAACCAGGAACTTTAAAAGACACCAACATCTTTCTAAACAAAATATTTTCTTTTCATTTTATCTAAAAGTCAAACTATTTGACTTGACAAGAATAGTCGATTAAAATTAGCATATACAAATGTAAACCAAAACAGCCCCACCATAAAAGGCCAAACTCTTAAATTAGCTGAGAAGAGAATTAAGAGAAGTGAATAAACAATTTATAGATTAGGCTTACTATTTTTATAATCAGTTCATCGTTTGAATTCAAGCATGTTTCAAGACACAAAAAAGGCTGTTTTGAATTATAGTTAGCACCAAGAAACGCCCACCCCCCTTTAGCAGATGAATCTTAGTACTAGTGTCAAACTCACACAGTAAATTTAAATTTAAATATTTAGTGGGAATTTGCTGCTTTGCATTGGTGGTTTGCATTTCCCTCTATTTTCTGAAATTTATAGGCCTTGGCCTACTATAGTCTTCTATTTAAAAAATCTGCATATTAGTCAATAACCAAAATAATTATTTTTGTAAATTTTTTTAGCTGAAGTTACAGGTGTACTGCTACAACTACATAGCCTACTACTGTAATGCTTCACTGAAATTAGTAAAACAATTAACATGTTTGACTGCTGAGTCTGCTGTGCTGCTTTAGTATAACATATTTTTCATCATCACAGCGTTGATTTCTATGAATGTTTCATAATGTTTAGAACACTGTCCTAAAGTATTCTGTATGTCCATAGAGATGAACATCAGAGGCAGTGAAATCTGTGTCTTTGGAAAAAAGTTAAGACACCTTATTTTCATCTCGAGCTTCAGCAAAATACTGAAGTATGCTTGCAGTTTTCAAACATATTTAAACTGCAAAATCTCAAAACATAAAACAAGAAACACGGCTCTGCTGCGGGAGGAGGGTGTTATCTTATATGCGCTCAGGGTCCTCTTGTCTCATAATATGTCATTGTACACCACCTATATGATTAATAAACAGCATAGACCTCAGTGACCCCTGAAACATGAGTTTCAGACATTTGATTGACAGGTGTTACCACAGGGAGATGTGTGATGTTTTCACTTTAAGCACAAATATCACACTTTAATATCACACCTTTCCGCTGCTAAAGCTTTGAACAATGCTGGACAGTCCACGCAAGCACATGGTTACACCATGCTCCTCACCATACACTAGACTGACAGACACAGGCAGATATGATGACACTTTCCTGAAAACATGTCAGAGATGAGATCAGTTGTGTAAAATAGTTTGTCGAGGCAGACTTCTATAGCCTACATAAATCCAGAAAACAGTAAACAAAATTAAGAGGGAAAGAGATAAAAGGAAATACAAAACAACATCAGAGGGAAAACATGTCATACAGTATATCTTGAGTCATATTACAGGATCGCCATAGTCACAGAGGAGACTGATCTTTTTGGGCTCAATTGTAATGTTAACCTAGAACTAGTGCCAGAAAGACACCCCTTCCTCCTGATCACCACTTATTCTACTAAGAATTCATAAGATGCTGTTTCCACCATTGCACTAACCCATTCATTCAGCCCTGGAACTTTTGTTTTCTTCCAGTGTAGTTGTGTGAAACTGTTAAGGCTACCCACTACAGATCAAAAGATTTGTTCTGATTTATGTAAGGATTTATTTGAGTCTGACAAGTTGTTTAATTTGAGTCTGACAAGAAAGAAGTTTGGAAATAAATCCTCACCGACCTGTCAGTGACTCAGTCATTACATAATCATGCCATGCACCCAGACATTAGCATTTTTGCCTCTTTTTGGCGAGAGACTGGAAATGTGGGAGGAGGGACAGACAGGCATGACATGCAACAAATGTCTGTTGCACTACATAATACATAGTCTAATAACTGGTGATGCTTTTTAACTTTGACAGCAAAATGTGCATTCCTGCAACACTTAAATAAGCACTTCATGTGTTTGTCTGGTGTATTGTGGAATATGTGGCAGAGATCCACGACACCTTAGGGCCACAATCTTTGATTTACTAAAGATGTGAGATGAGTATAAATTAATATATGAACTGGTTGTATGGTCTATAAAAGTCCCTGAAGACACAGAGTTATTGAGAACTGATCTTGGGTAGTGTTGTTCAAAGCTGTGTCTTGACATTAGAAACAACAGTTGGCGTCAATGATCATGACTGAAAGCTCCAAAGCAGCTACTAAATGCACTTTATGTTATTTTCCTATGTGCCATTTCTGTCGTCATGAACAAACCTCGAACCTCAGCTCCAAGTCACCATGGATTAAAGTGGTTTAGATTAAAGTGCTTAAAAGAAATGTAAATCTACAATTCTGAGGTGGTCAAATGCTCCAAAACAAATAATAGATAGAAATAATAAATAAATAGAAATAGAAATCTCATTCGCATACAGTAATATTCCTCACACTCTGCCGGGACATTCATGCCTTCACGGCTAAAATATCTTCAAAGACTTGTTATGACCTTTAAGAAAGAGCCATATAAGATTGGTTTAATGGTAATTTGACATTACATGATCATGCTGGTAGCACACTGCCACATGGTGACAGAGGAAGGTGGCATTAGCCCACTTAATGGAAATGCTGTGTGCTGTTATTTTTGAATAATAATTGCCAGGTGTGGCGAAGATGGTGACGCTGACAGTAAGAGCAGCAGAACCAGAAAAATGCATCTGATGTAAATGCATGTCATGCACACACACACACACACACACACACACACACATAATGAGCAGAGAAAGAAAGGGAAATGGCATGACCAAAAGGCAGTGAAGGGGAAAAACAACAACAGATAGCTGCAGGCAGAGATGCTGCTATATCTATTTTTGATGAATGGGTGGCTTGTTGCCCACACACACACACACACACAGACTACTGTATTAATACTAATGGAACAATGCTATTATAATAAAAGCGTGTTGCGTCAGGTGATGGGCACAGTGTGAGGCTGAGGAGATGGAGACATCGCACCCATGTAAACACCAGCAGACCTTTTAAAGGCTGAGGAGGACAAGGAGAAGATGAATAGGTCAGAATCCATTATGGCAGACACAAATCCCATGAGGACGATAAAGAATACTGGTAGCACTGTTCAGTTTTATTAACTTGAATGTTACCCATTTTCTCCCTTAAATGTCCTCTTAAGTTGCACATATATAGTACTGTTTCAGTGCCTCACAGAAGTTAAATGACCCTCTTTTAAGTGACATATTCAATCCAAATCCAATACTGTCATTCTGAATCATTTACACATTTGTCTATGTTGTAGTTTTCCTATTTGGCATTGTTGGAGACCACTGGATCTTGGGTAATATTTAAATCAAGGTTTTGTGGGTTTGAACACTGCAGTCAGTGATGGACTGACCCTCCAATGTGGCCATGACATTGAAGAAGCTGATTGTTAATCTTTACCAACTGAAATAAAGGAAAAGGTCCCTGGACAAAAAGAGAAAAACAGCATTCAAATGAGGAATATCTAGTCCATTATTAGGAACAGAAAGGGTATTTGCTGTCATCTGCTTTGAGCGAAACTCGGCTGTACAATAAGAACAAGTTAATCAGTTCCACTCCTGTTCCTGTAGAATTACAGTATATAAATGAAAATGAGGATCTTTTTTAAATGTTATATCACGTGCCGTATACTGTATGGTCACACAACATAGAATAAATATACTGAACAAAATTCTAAACACAACACTTTTGTTTTTGCCCCCATTCATCAGGAGCTGAACTCAAAGATCTAAGACTTTCTCTATGTACTCAAAAGGCCTATTTCTCTAAAAATCTGTCAAAATCTGTGTTAGTGAGCACTTCTTTGCCGAGATAATCCATCCACCTCACAGGTGTGGCATATCAAGATGATAATCAGACAGCATGGGATTTATGGTAGAGAAATAAACATTCAATTCACAGGCAACAGCTCTGGTGGACAGTCCTGCAGTCAGCATGCCAATTGCACGCTCCCTCAAAACGTGTGACATCTGTGGCGTTGTGCTGTGTGATGGAACTGCACATTTTTGTGGCCAGCCTAAGGCACATCTGTATAATACCCATGCTTTCTGATCAGCATCTTGATATGCCACACCTGTGAGGTGGATGGATTATTTCGGCAAAGGAGAAGTGCTCACTAACACAGATATTGACAGATTTGTGAACAATATTTGGGAGAAATATGCTTTTTTGTACATAGAGAAAGTCTTAGATCTTTGAGTTCAGCTCATGATGAATGGGGGCAAAAACAAGTGTTTATAATTTTGCTCAGTGTATATAATGTGTCAATAAACTTGAGTTACTTGGGGTGCACAACCAATGAAGCAATGAAAATCCAATAACTCCCCTAATCTGGCAGCCTATCCACTACCATGGTTAACATTTTGTAACACACACATCTAGGTTGTATGCATCCATTGTTCTTAATGTAATAGAAACAGGTGAGGAACTTGGTTTTACCATTCGTCAGAGTTTCAGGTTTGTGCTGTTCACACCAGGTTATGTATATTAGATTAGTATAGAATATGAGTGATAAATACCCTATTTCTGAAACTGATGTTATAGATGTGTCAATGTTGTGAAATTGTTTTTTATAGTAGTTTTTAGATGTGTTAATTCAATTCTGGGCTCTCCTTCCTTTTTACTTTTTATTTTGCTTGTAAAAATTGTATTTGATGAGATTAAGTTGTATTGCGCTCTTGTTCTCATTGTCAAGGGCATATTTCAATTCCTAAAATGCAAAAAAGCATAATTTAATATTGAAAGATATAACCTGTGAAAGCAGTGACTTTCACTGTAGCTTCCACGCACACGCACACAGACTCCCACACTTCAGTGGGCAGGTAACAAACATTTAGACATCCATAATTAAAGGTCAACAGTGTGGTGCAAACAGATATTGAGAGGAAGTCTGTGTTTATGCTAATGCCTTGTCAGACAGAGAGGCCTGCGACTCTCTGACACCATGTATTAATAATGAGACAAGACT